TATGAGTTTACATAGTAATTTATCTGGCCGCAAAACACGACAGATATGGATTTTCATACAACTTTTGCCGGCCGCTGCCCGCATATATCTGGAATTTTCATTTATCTCGAAGAAGATTGTCAAAATAATGCTCACATTTTCAAGCAGGTTTGAGAAAAAGAATTTTTGACACTGTAAGCACTGTGTGTACACGACCGCTTACCCACACAGAGACGTTCATACCCGATATCCGAACACCGTCTACCTTATCTGTGACGGTACCGCGAGCATCTACCGCTCGCGCACAGTAGGCCGAGGCGCGCAGTCAGCTCGCGTTCACGTCACACCCGCTCATGATTAAGGATCACGAATTAATCCTGAAACTAGTCGAGCTTTCTCGATCTAATTACACGTAAAATAAATCGGTAGCTACATTAGAACGAATTTTGAGTTTTCATTGCAAATTTTTTAACTCGCCTTCCCCGGACGGTTAAAATTTTTTGTTATTATTCGATCCACGTTTCATTGAAAAATGTTCAGTTTTCGTGGGAGATTAGCGAATGTTAAAAGGAAGGTAATGCTTTCAAATTTACTTTTTATATTTCATTCAAACTTGGCAAACTGACATTTTAATATTTAGCCGATATCATCACGACCAAAAATCGACGAAGATTACGTTACAGTTTACACATTAACAATTTGGATGGCTAAAATCGGGTGGGCTTTGGGGTACTTATGTGAAGGCAAGGCCAAAAAAAAGATTCGAATTTCAAAATTTAAATTTTACAACAATGACAAATTTAAAAATATAATGTTTTTTTTCAATAACACATTTAGACAAAATGTCCTTTGACCATTTTTTTGTAAAGTCAACGAATTGTCAAATTTAGACCTTACAGAGATACGATTTAAAGTTGAATTTTGATTGAGGAATCATTAAGAAAAAACTATTTAATTTTTTAATAACATAAATGGATATATTAAAAATGACGTAAATTTTTAAAATGGCACCAGTAATTTTACGTTTAATAGGTAAATATATTTATATTTGTTTTGATTATGATAGAATAATAAAATACAGATACATTCAAGTAATCTGAGGTAATAATATGAATTTTTCTATTTTTTTTTTATTGGATGAAAATGGAATGGTAACCCCGCCCGCGCTAACGGGATACGCTGGCGGAGCACCAGTGAAGGGTGACAGATGAGAATGAAAACAGGCCAGTTAACACATCATGATGAATTCATCAGGAATTAACCATGATAGTTTCTAGGGGAACCGCGAGGAGGTCGACCTGGTTGGGTATATTGCTAGCAATGGGATTCTCAGTCTCCATTACTAACAATCCCTCCCCACCCCCAATTTTTCTACTATAAACGATATCATAAAATGAGTACAAATAAAACATTAGTATAAATAAAAAACTAAATATTAGGTTGTCTGGAAAAGATTGCTTAGCAATAAGACCGCTTCTTGTCTCTCGTACCTATCGAAAATCCTTTAATAAACCATATAATATTGGTGCAATGTTATTTTTTTTATACAACTTAGAATGGCAAACAAGCTGACGGCCCACCTGATGGAAAGTGGCAACCGTCGCCTATAGACATGAGCAGTACCATGGAAATAACAGACTATACTGTTTCACCCATGATACTCCCCGTGCGTTGCCATTCCTGAGGACTCAGGTGTTATTCCTCTGTACCCAGTAAATTCACGCCATATCCCACCTTTCAAACCGAAACACAGCCATGCAAACACAACTGCTTCACGGTTGCAACACGAATGTGACAGAGGTACCCAAACAAACGACTTTTGTACAAAGTCTCCCTCTAGTTCTTTTTGTCACACCGCTCTACCCGCTGACATTGATGCTCCTTTCCACTTTGGGTGTTGCTGGAAGAGAACTCTAGAGTTAAGCTCGCCTTTGTACATTTAATTACCTGTCATATTTCTATATTATTAGTGTCTACAATAAAATATAAATTAATTAATTAATGGCAAACCATGAGAGGTAGCATTAGTGTCACAGTGTATATTCTGTGACGCTCATGGTGTCATGTCTATAGGCGACGGTCAGCACTTTCAAATTGTAACGATTTATAATACGATACCAGAGGGAAACTTGGTACAATAGTCGATTGCTTGTGTACCTCTGTCCCAATCGTGTTTCAACCGTAAAGCAATTGTTTGCATGGCTGTGTTTCGGTTTGAATGGTGGGAAACGGCGTGAATTTACTGGGTACGGAGGAATAACACCAGAGTCCTCAGGAATGGCAACGCATGGGGGGATATCATGGGCGAAACAGTATACTCTGTTATGTCCATGGTACTGCTCATGTCCATAGGCGACGGTTACCACTTTCCATCAGGTGGACCGTCAGATTGTTTGCCATTCTAAGTTGTATAAAAAAAAACAGACTATGGTTTACAGTTTACCATATTTTACACTCAAAAATACATACATACATACATATAATTAAAATATTTAGAATTAAAATAACTCTTGTGTAATATTATATTTATTTCACATTAATACAAAAGATACGTCTTCCTGTTAACTAAACGTTATTTACAAAACAAAACATATTATGAAACTTTATCCGACTTCTGCGTCGTTTTTTTTTTTGATGAGTAAAAAATGGTATGGTAACCCCGCCTGCGCTAACGGGATACGCTGGCGGAGCACCAGTGAAGGGTGATAGATGAGAATGAAAACAGACCCGTTAGCCCATCATGATGAATTCATCGGGAACTAACCATGATAGTTTGGGGGGAAAGGGATTGTTAGTAATGGAGACTGAGAATCCCATTGCTAGCAATATAGCCAACCAGGTCGACCTCCTCGCGGTTCCCCCTGGAAACTATCATGGTTTTTTTTTATACTTTACTAATAAAACTAGCTGTATTCCACGGCTCCGCCCGCGTATATACACAGTACCCCATGTGCTAAGTGCTTAGCTGGCCGTGTGGTCCCGGCATAGAATAGGCCGCCCCTTCCTTTCCCGTGGGTGTCGGTTTCAGGGATGGGCAACAGCGTCTCTCTCAAAACATCTCTAAAGCCTGATTGCGGCTGCCAATCAAATACTAACAATTCTTTTTCCCCAATTGGCGGTTGCCAACCCGCCTGTCAAGCGTGGCAACTACTGGCAAAACCCCCCAAGGGTAGGCTTATATTCAGACTCTACCTATACAGCACATATCTCTCATAATGGCTCTTTCAATTTATTCATAATTTGAAAGGAAATGACAAAACAATAGCTAAAATAGGTTCGTAGAGGACTTAGTTTTTAAGAATGACTTTTTTTCTATTTAATTTAACCTACCCTCCAAAAATAAACATAATGTTGTCTGGTATACAAATTGGGAATCTGTAATTGGCTAATGTAAGGGTGTAAACATAATACTTTTAATTGGGGGGAAAGGGATTATTAGTAATGGAGTTTGACAGCCCTATTGCTAGCAATATGCTCTATTAGATCGACCTCCACGTGGTTCCCCCTGGAAACCATCGTGAACAATTCTTGTTGAATTCGTCACGATGGGCCAACTGACCTGCTTCATCCTCAACTATCATGCTTCACTGGTACCCCGCCAGTGTATACCGATAGCGCAGGCGGGGATACCATTCCATTGTCACCCAATAAAAAAAAAATACTTTTAATTATTCTAGATATAAGCTGTTGATTCCAGATATAATATTAAAATAAAATAAAAATAAATGAAAGGGGTAAATTTTTATCTAAGCTTTGCATACTTCACATTTTTACTTAAACACTGTAAAATCTTATTTATTTTATTTAAACTTTAACGCACAGTAAAATTCTATGTACATTTGGCGGACTTAACACCGGACGGTGTTCTCTACCAGTCAACCATTGGCCAAACCGTTATTTATAATGTGGGAATAAAAATAAAAAAAAAAGCACACTGAGTTAATATCGTATTAGAAACACAGGCCTAGCTTTGACTCATTCTAATATACTAGTGTTGCCTTATAATTGGTGTGTGTCGATTATTAATCGATTCGATAGCACTCAACATTAGGACATAATTGATTATAAACTATTTCACGATTGTAATCGAGTGAGATAATATTGATTAATATATCACATATTGGAGCATGTAGTATTTTAAGTTCGTTATCAAAGGTGTAACAATTAAAAAAAAAAAAAAAAAAACAGTGAATTTACTGGGTACAGAGGAATAACACCCGAGTCCTCAGAAATGGCAATGTATGGGGGATATCATGGGCGAAACAGCATACTCTGTTATGTCCATGGTACTGCTCATGTCTATAGGCGACGGTTACCACTTTCCATCAGGTGGATCGTCAGCTTGTTTGCCATTCTAATTTGCATATAAAAAAATCGCATATTCCATATCGATCTAGTCAATAATCAGTAGCAACATTCGAGTATCGATTCAATCTATACTATAAAAGTAATGTAATTAATAGTAGTCAATTGTAATCGATTATTGCCGATGTCGACAGACCAATCGATATTTCGATTATTCCGACTCACAATCGGTTAATAGATAAATCAATTTATTAGGCTGCACTGTAACATATCTGTAGTTACCCTGCCGTGTCCATCCGTACCCCAGCCCCAGTTTTTATCCGGGGAATTAAAAAGCCCACCTTACGAACTACAATAGGATTAGCTTAGAACTCGCTGTGTTTAGTGTTTTTTTTTTTTTTTTATATATGATAATAGAATGGTAACCCCGCTTGTGTTAACGGTATACGCTGGCGGGGTACCAATGAAGGATGATAGGTGAGGATGAAAAGGCAGATCAGTTAAGCCATCGTGATGAATACATTTGGAATTTAGCACGATAGTTTCCAGAGGGGACCACGTGGAAGTCGACCTTACAGGGTATATTACTAGCAATGAGACTGTTAGACTGACCTGCCTTTTCACTCTCACCAATCATCTCTTACTGTTGCTATGCCAGGATATACCGATAGCGCAGGCGAGTTACCATTCCATTATCAACCATTAAAAAACCAAAGTACATTTCACATGGGTGGGTTATACAATGCAAATTCTATTACGACTTGTGTACAATGGAGTCTCCAGGCCCCCAGGTCATCTGTCTGACTTGCCAGCGTTGTGCAGATGGTTGGGGGCGTCGGCGAACGCGAATTTTAGCCTGTACGCCTCGGCAACTAAGATACTAATGTTCGAATCTGACCAGTTCTGCGTTGGTACGTTTTGGAGTAATATCATGAGTCCTTGAAAGTCCTTCTCGAGCATGAGCCGCTCCCGCCAGTGGAGGAGGAAGGCCGCGCATACGTACAGCTGGAACGTGGCGAATCCGTCCGATTCAGCGAGGTACGTGTCCCATAGACGGATGGTGCAAGGTAGGGGTATCTCTCTTGTGAGCAGGTTGTTCATCCAACGGAATGAGAATTGGAGGTAGTCCACGCCGTGGGTCTGGAGGTGCTCGTGGAGGGGCAGGTCTATGCGGCGGATCAGATCCTTCAACTGATTCACCTGTGAATGAAAGTTAGGATTTTAGGTGTCGTAATATCAGCTTTTAACTGTTCACTGCTGAACATAAGCCTTCCCCATAAAGGTTTTTTTTTATTTATTTAATTAAAAAACCCACAACTCTTAAAAAAAACAACTTACATGCTAAGTCTCTTATAAATACAGCCAATAACGGATTTTAATTATAGAAAGGAGAAGTAGTAGGCAAGTTAGAGTGGATGTATGTAAGTGATGTATGTATGTATGAAAGAAACTATTTTGATTATGTTTTAAGAGAGACGCTGTTGTCCATCCCACTGCGATACAGGCACGACCTAGTTCAGTGGCTAGTAGATCTAATTAAATGTGTTTTTGTTTTGTTTTATACAACTTAGAATGGCAAACAAGCTGACGGCCCACCTGATGGAAAGTGGTAACCGTCGCCTATACACATGAGCAGTACCATGGACATAACAGAGTATACCGCTTCGCCCATGATACCCCCCATGCGTTGCCGTTCTTGAGGACTCAGGTGTTATTCCTCAGTACCCTGTAAATTCACGCCATATCCCACCCTTCAAACCGAAACACAGTCATGCAAACTTAACTGCTTCACGGTAGAAACGCGAATAGGACAGAGGTACCAAAGCAATTGACTTTTGTACAAAGTCTCCCTCTGGTAACTAAATGTTATTTATTACTCAATAAAGACAACTATATATATATATATATATATATATATATATATATATATATATATATATATATATATATATATATATATATATATATATATATATATATTAATATTATTTATAAATTTCATTATCTGTGCTGTATTTGACATTCATGTACATTGTATTAAAGTAAGAAATGTCTATCTGTCTATAACGATAAGGCCGCCCATTGTTTTCTCAGTGTAATATTTCCATGTAATTGTTTATATCTATAATAGGTTTACTATTGTAATCTTATGGAGAAAACAATAACAATAAAGAGTATCTAACTCTTTTGAGGGCAAAGCAATAAACTGAGTTGTGACCATTTTCTGTTACTATGAAAAAAGGACATGGAGGCATGAAAAAAGGAAATTGTTGTTTTATATATTTTGCTTTTTGTTTTCTTTTTTTGCTGCTTTTTTGTTTTTTATCCTTTTATCTCTTTTACTGTGTATTATGTGTATGTTTGTATTGTAATTTGTGTGCTGTAAGTAATGCAAATACAAGAGGGAGACTTTGTTCAAAAGTCGTTTGCTTGGGTACCTCTGTCCTATTCGTGTTTCAACCGTGAAGCAGTTGTGTTTGCATGGCTGTGTTTCGGTTTGGAGGGTGGGATATGGCGTGAATTTACAGGGTACGGAGAAATAACACCTGAGTCCTCAGGAATGGCAATGCATGGTACCCATGATACCCTCATGGGCGAAACAGTATATACTGTTATGTCCATGGTACTGCTCATGTCTATAGGCGACGGTTACCACTTTCCATCAGGTGGGCCGTCAGCTTGTTTGCCATTCTAAGTTGTATATAAAAAAATTATCTATCTAACCTTATACTGAATGCCGAGTTGAGCAAATATATAGTTGTCTTGTATGCTGTCCAGGAACTTGGACAGGCACCAGAACGAGTCCGCCTCGATGACGTCGCGCTGTGCCTCCGTCAGCTTGTCCAGGGGGAAGTTATCCAGCTCCTGGCCGGGGGCGGCCTCCTGTAGGAACACCATGAAGAATGGCGTGACCAGGTCGTTGATGCCTTGCACGTACCCTGAGGCCGGGTGCCGGATCGCCCATATGTAGAGTATTCGTTCGAACATCACCTGGGGAAAAAAATTTAATTACAAATAAATAGAAATATATTTATTAATAGACTTTGTACAAGTTATCTGTTTCTTAGTGGATGATAATGGAATGGTAACCCGGCCCGTGTTATCGGTATACTTTGGTGAGGCACCAGCGAATGGTGTTAGGCGTGGAAGAAACTAAGTCAGTTAGCCCATTGTTACGGATTCAACGACAATTAATCACGATGATTAATGATCACGATGACTGAGAATCCCATTGCTAGCAATATAGCCAACCAGGTCGACCTCCTCGCGGTTCTCCCTAGAAACTATCATGGTTAATTCCTGATGAATTCATCATGATGAGCTAACTGGCCTGTTTTCATTCTCATCTATCACCCTTCACTGATGCTCCGCCAGCGTATCCCGTTAGCGCAGGCAGGGTTACCATACTATTTTCACCCATCAAAAAAAATCACGATGATTTCTAGAGGGAACCGCGTTGACGACAACCTGACAAAGTATGTAGTTAGCAATGGGGATTAATGTCCCCATTACTAACAATCCCTCTCTCTCTCTCAAGTCGTCTGTTTTTTTAATGGGTGATAATGAAATGGTAACCCCGCCTGCGCTATCGGTATACACCGGGGCACCAGTAAGAAATGATAGGTGACGATGAAAGCAGGTCAGTTAGCCCATCGTGACGAATACACCTGGAACTCAGCACGATGGTTTCAGGGGGGATCACGTGGAGGTCGACCTGACAGGGTATATTGCTAGCATACGCATATAATAGCATAGCAGACTGAGAATACGCATTACTAACAATCTCTTTCCCATTTGGTTTGAAGGATGGGATAGGGCAGTAAATTTACAGGGTACAGAGGAATAACACCTGAGTCCTCAGGAATGGCAATGCATGAGAGGTATCATGGGCGAAACAGTATACTCTGTTATGTCCGTGATACTGCTTATGTATATAGGCGACGGTTATCACTTTCCATCAGGTGAGCCGTCAGCTTGTTTGCCATTCTAAGTTGCATAAACAAAACTCATTACCTGAACGGTGCTCTGCTGGAACAGCGCGACGAGCGGACTCATCCGCGGTATGTCGATGTGTATTTGTCTGTAAGTGTCGTCGTCCCGCTCCGCGTCGTAGTATTGGCGCACCAGGTGCTTGTAGTCCGCCCGCTTGCGCTCCAGAGTTTCCGCACGCCGCTCCGAGTTCGCTGGCAGGTAGCCGGCGAGCAGGCGCCATGTAATCGCACGGGCCTGTAATGGGATTCCATTCATCACATCAGCCTTTATCTGTCCACTGTTGAACATAGGCCTCCCCCATAAGGGGGTTTTGCCAGTAGCTGTATGCTTGGCAGGCGGGTTGTCAACCGCAGTTAGGCTTTGGAGATGTTACAACAACATGTGGTAATTTAGTATACTTCATGAAGGTAAAGCCGCAGGATACAGCTAGTAAATAACATAATAAGCATACATAGCTGTCTGCAAAAAATTGCAATTGTAAGAAGTCATGAAAAAAAAAGCAGTCCCTGATGATAACTAACTTAGAGTACCTATAATAGTCAAAGATGGTGACCCATAAAAAAAACAAGTTCAATTATAACTAAACCAGTTATTTTGGTCTAAAAATTAAACTAATGAACCGATTTTGATAAAACTCCTATGTGACCAATCTGTAAGTATATAATAATAATAACTTTATTGCTAAAACCATGATTGTAACAAACTCAGCACTGGAAATTACAGTAAAAGTAGATACGAATTCACTTGTACATTTGGATTAGTTTAAACACCTGTGTCTGAACTAGGTTATAAAACCTGTATCTCAGACAACAGCGCTCAACCCTCATTACATAGTATATAATATTAGTTCAGCTAATTTTTTATATAATTTATCCTTTCAGGTAAAAAAAGAACCGTCCAAATCGGTATAGAACTGACTGTAAAACAATCTATATAACATACATACCTTGTATTAGTATGTAATAATGTACATAGGTATTGGCGCGAAAGGAGCACGTTGGAATGCGCATGCGTCCTTTACTCACATAGTACTGTTTTTATACCGTTAACTGAATCCATTTGTTAATAATAATGGAGTGGACACAGTGTATAACTTTTATTTAGTCAGTCTACCATAGGTAATTTATTTATTTAACCGTTTTAGTGCCATTGATTTTAACTCATATCTGCTTAAAAATACCAAAGAAATCTTTGTCGTGTCGATGTTATTTAGCCTTGTCTCTAAAAAAAACTGTATCTCCTCCAAAAATTATCCAATTTTAATAAGTTTTCTACAGCAAGTGATGTCACGAACGCTCTATGGCGCTCAATTGGTTAAACTTTTTTTTTTATACAACTTAGAATGGCAAACAAGCTGACGGTCCACCTGATGGAAAGTAGTTACCATCGCCTATACACATAAGCAGTACCATGGACTATACAGTGTATACTGCTTCGCCCATGATATCCCCCATGCGTTGCCATTCCTGAAGACTCAGATGTTATTCCTCTGTACCCTGTAAATTCACGCCATATCCCACCCTTCTAACCGAAACACAGCCATGCAAACACAACTGCTTCACGCTAGAAACACGAATGGGACAGAGGCACCCAAACAATCGACTTTTGTACAAAGTCTGCCTCTAATGAGGTCAAACAAAGTCCTTTATTGCATCCCTTTAAAGCACAGTAAAATTCTATGTACATTTGGCGGATTTAACATCAAATGGTGTTCTCTACGAGTCTAAATAAGTAGGCAGTGCATTACTGAATTGGGGAAACATAAAGTAATACTTAATATATTTATATATTATAAACATATTAGACTTTTGTAAACATTTACATGTGTACATGTTTACAAAAGTCTCATTATATGTATTTGTGTACATATAACATGTGATACTGTACCAAAGATAATGGATTTTAAAGAAATCTTTTAATTAAACAAAATTATTCAGATACACTGATTCATAATTGATAAAGTTATTTCTTAATATTCTTCAAAAAAAAAAATACAGTTAAATCATGACTTCCTCTTGTCTGAATTAAGTGTAAAAATATATATATATATATATAACTATGTGTGTATATGTATTATCATGTGTTCATATTGTATCTGCTACGCCTAACAGCTTTTATGTTCTCCAACTGTATATATTACCATAAAATGTTTCATGCCAGGGAGGGGTCCTGGTGCCTTGTGATACGGGTTCTTCGGATACCCAGTTCAGACACCAGTTCACTGCAACTTTAATGTATCTATGGTATTATTATAAATTGTTCATTGTACTCAAAAAGTTGTCAGAAATAAATAAACATTATTACTATTATTATTATTATATATATATATATATATATATATATATATATATAGATGTAATATGAAACATATCATTTTATATTACAATTACATAATTGTACCATTTAGTATTTTATTGATTAATTTGATAACAATACAAAAGAGTTTATGAACAAGTTGTAAACTAGTTGAGTGGCACATTTCAAAGAAGTTGTTAAACAAAAATGCTTATAGAATACACATGGCTCCCTATAATAGTGGCTATACACAGCCCTCTATGACAAAACTGTTCTAATGCAGAAGAAACGGTTTTTCAAATAATCCTGGTATGTGTGGCTATAACCCATCAATGTTCACAAATCCTCGACGCACAACGGCCCAAATGAGAGGCTAAGTGCGGAAAACAGAGTCTTTCTTTCACAAATCCTCGGCACAATGAGGTCGCTTTGTGAGACCTGTGATGATGCCAGGAAGCTTATGTGCTATGGGCAGAGCTTAGCTGGCTGTATTAGCCACAACTCACATAAACAACAGCTCAAATGAGCGGCTTAGTGCAGTAATGAGAGTCCAATTTGCATTTACACATTACTCACTTAAATAGAGTGTAAATAAAATTGTGTGCTACAAAAAAGAACCAACTTCATTTGCAATAAACAGTAATTTCATAAAATAAATGAAAATATTGGGTTTAAAGAAATGGCAACTCAGAACATGTCTCACTTTTACTACATGTAAATAAATGGCAAGATTGTTTACACATTGTAATATTGAAAAAAAATTATAAAATTTACAAATTACTGAAAGAAGACTATTGCCTACATACCTTGTCTGAAGTTAAAAACAAACTTTTTGAGGCAACAATTGTAGAGGAATATTGGATAGAAGATTTACTTTTTTATATTTATAATTTACTAGCAGTTGACAACCTTTTTGGAGCTACAGTGGAAAGTTTTATAAAGAAACTCATTTTTTTTACATCTATCTTTACTCCAAAAATTTTCATGTATCTAGAGATGTAACCTATTCTGAATATCTTGAAGGAAAATGGTGAATATAATACTGTTACTAAAAGAATACTATTTATTCTTACCTGTCGCATAGCAACTAAGACATAAAACAGTTTAAGACTCACCTTAACTGGAATTCCAGACCAACTGAGATGTTTCAACTCATTCAGATCAACAACAGCGCTCTCATGTATTTGCTGGAACCTTTCCAATTTCGATTCACTACTCTCTTCTCTAGACAACAAAGCCGACGGCCTAACAGCCCGCGGACGGCCCGGATAATGGCGCATTGGCCCCGAGGATCCCCCAGAACCTCCACCAACTTTCCTAACCTCATTCTTCCTCGCTTCATCACGGGATTTCACATTTTCAGTCTCTTGTATGTCACTCAATTTTTTACTACTATTTCTATGTGAATTAATCACGTTTAATGCGGCGGTTTGTGATATCGCCTTAGATATTTTCGTTTCTGCAATTCCGGAGACGATGTCGTCGTCGCCCAGGTCCCAGGCATCGTTCACAGACGCCTGGAACTGTTGATATGATGATCCCGAGCCAGACATAACCTCGGTCTGACCGACTCTTTGTAGAGGTCTACCCGGGTACGCGCGCTGTGGTGTTCTCCAAAAGGTGTCAGACAACAAATCGCTCTTGTCATATTCGAGTTGATAACTTTCCATAATAAAATATATCTAAGAACATTATAAATAACTTTGTTGAACAACAAAATAAAGTGAAAAATGTTGATATGACAATGACATATTACTCGTTGTCAGAGACAATAAAGCACTCTTGTTGCCATATAAGATTAAAATGGTTTGTTTACTTTGTTTATACATTAAATTAAAGTAATATAAGACATTGATTTAATAATAATTATAATGATAATAATAAATTCATATACATAATAGCAAAGATCACTGGTTATAATAAAAAATACAATAAATTTGATAACGAAACTATTTAAGAATAGCAATACCATTTATTTATAGACAAACAGCTACGTTTCAAGAATTTTATTAGTTTGGTTTCTTTGTCATTTTATGAAATTAAAAATAATAATGATTAAACCTAGCCTCTTTCGTTTTAATTATGTAATATGCATTAATTTGGCATTTGGCACATATCAAAATACATAATCAGACATATAATTTAATTAGATTATTTTAGTACTTATTCATTTTTCATTTTCATTCAAATATTTAATATTTACTTATTTGTACACTACAAACTAAATTCAAATAAAACATTTATTGAATAATTATTTTCAAACCCAATGAAATTTAACCTGAATACATCCAGTAACTAATTATTACTACAGCAACATATTGGGGTTTCTAAGCGGTTTATTTGATCAATACACGCAGTCCATACCTACTTGTGAATTAGTTTATAAAAATGTCGAGTCCAAATTCTGAGACAGATTCCACTTCTATGTTTATGCAAAAAGGCGATGGTAAGAAAACAAAAAGTCCAACACGCTCCGAATCGTCCTCCAGAAGAAATTCTATGGTAAAAATAGTACCAGCCGAAGTTATCACGGTAAAAGACTTTTTTGACTTTATGAAAACAGCTTATCAAGTTTATGAGCATTTGGAAGGTGATGAGGACGAAGGATCGAAGATTAATTGGGAGGAACTGACAAAATTAACGGTTATCAATCACGTTATTGAACAACAAGAAAGAGATCTTCTCTATCAGACAGCTTTTGCAGAACCAAAGCCTATAGTCAGTAAAAGTGATACCGCAATCGAGAAGAAAAATAGCACTGACCGTATTGAAAAAAGATTTAGTTGTAGTGAGCTTGAGGGTAAGTCGAAATTTTAAATTGTTTTCTATAATTTTTGGCGATATTATAATTGTACTTGAGTTCAACATTTTCATATTCCGCGTTTTAGGAAAAGGTCGGAGGCGTTCATTACCACCTGAAGCAAGAGTTGAGATGCTAGGAGTGTGGACAGAAGCTAATCTCAATTGTAAATTAAATGACGTAAGTGAAAAGTTTGAAGAATTTGTATTTGTATTAATCTATTGTGGATTTTAAATACAGGTATCTTTCTTATTACAGGTGATAAATGAAGGAATATTGGATTCTATCTTGCCTTACTTAGTTGGCTATAAAAAATCATCGAAAACAACAAGCGTTTATGCTCCTATAATTAAGAAAGCTCCATCAAATTCCACAAGTGATTTAAAAAAACCAGCCAGCTTTGGAGGTTGTGTATGAATTATTTTTTTAATAATAGAAAGTCATTAAATTGATGTTTTTCTAAAATTATATTTTTTTAGACATTATAAATGGTACATACATGATATACATCTTTCATTGTATTTTTCTTTATAATTTGTACAATGAAAACATACTGATTGTATTTAATTCGTAGGTTTCGTGAATGAAAAAGAATCGAGAGATCGACTTGGGAGACGGAAATCTTCAGTTGTAGCTGCTCAAGAGCGTAACAATCAAAAACAAGAGTAATTCAATAAATTATAGTTTTTATAAATTATTATAATTGAATGAAGAATATATATCTGATTTTCAACACTTTTAACAATATCCCATATTGTCTAGTGGTTAGGATACCTGGCTCTCACCCAGGAGGCCCGGGTTCAATTCCCGGTATGGGAATTCTCTTTTTGTTCACTATTTTTAAACTGTCATCAAATATATTTATTTAGTTAATGACATGATTGATATTTTGTCTGTACTTACTTAATTATATTTTATTTAAATTCAATTGATATATTGAGAACATTTATTAAATAAATAAGGCCTTTTTTTATACAACTTAGAATGGCAAACAAGCTGACGGCCCACCTGATGGAAAGTGATAACCGTCGCCTATAGACATGAGCAGTACCATGGACATAACAGAGTATATTGTTTCACCCATGATACCCCTCATGCGTTGCCATTCTTGAGGACTCAGGTGTTATTCCTTCGTACTCAGTAAATTCACGCCATATCTCACCCTTCAAACCGAAACACAGCCATGCAAACACAACTGCTTTACGGTTGAAATACGAATGAGAGAGAGGTACCCAAGCAATCGATTTTTGTACAAAGTCTCCCTCTGGTCATTCGAAAGGCAAGGCTGTCTTATGTTTGGCGGCCCCAATGGAAATCAGGGTTGTGATATTATCAAATGCCAAGTAGGAGCCCCATTTAATATCCACTGAAGTACGTCAAATGTTTTTCTATTTCTAATAAAGATAGATCGCTTGGTCTATCGTGATGAATCGACCGCATGGAGGTCCACCTGACAAGGTATTTTACTAGCACTAGGGCAGCTAGTCCCCATTACTGACTATCACCTTCCCTCTGTGTCCAGAAATGGAGTGGAATTGGGTTATTATAAACACCATCATGTTACAGTGGTGAAGTGGAAATCCATGTGTGCGATGAAGTCAAGGGCCTGAAGAAGGACTTCAGGTGTCCCCAGAAGTTGCTAGTCTCCAAGATGGGGTACTTCGCTGACGTCACCGCAGGACAGCGGCTCGAGGACATGGATATATCTGTGCATTGCGACATACAGGTAATCTATATTACCATATTGGCGGGAAAATATTGTTACACCAACGCCTCTACCGGCAAAATATTGAAACATACTAAAATGTATACAAAGATTTTTTTTTGATGTGGCAGTTTAGGTTGAGATTGTGTGTTTAAAATTCAAAACTTTAACTAAATTTATAATTTAATTATATAAATATATTATAAATATTCACCAGAGGGAGACTTTGTACAAAAGTCGTTTGCTTGGGTACCTCTGTCCCATTCGTGTTTCAACTGTAAAGCAGTTGTGTTTTCATGGCTGTGTTTCGGTTGAAGGGTGGGATATGGCGTGAATTTACAGAGTACAGAGGAATAACACCCGAGTCCTCAGGAATGGCAACGCATGGGGGGTATCATGGGCGAAAAACAATAATATATAATTTATTCACTGATAATATATATGCAATATCTTTCTAGGGCGGGTTGTCTGAGAAAACTTAGCAAATTAGCCGAGAATGATATATAATTTATAATTATTTATAATATATAATTTATTCGCTGATAATATATAGCTTTCTATAAGTTAAAATCGGCTGAGTGGTTTGTCCATTATAAACAAACAATCAAAAGTTTCCTCTTTATAGTACATATTAATATAGATTTATAAAATGTGTCTAGATTGTGAAATAACAATTTCTTCTTGTCGTAGATATTTGACTGGCTGATGAGGTGGGTGAAACGGGACAGTATCCTAGTGGCGGACTGGCCGCTGCTCGACCCTCACAACGTGGTGCCCATACTCGTCTCCGCGTCCTTCTTACAGGTCTCTGAGCTCAACAATTAATCAATCATACGTATAATAAAATCGTAACTGGTCGCTGTCTGTACATGGAAGATATATATAAAAAAAACTATTATAGGGGAGCTTTATGAACGCGATAGAATCCGAAACAATGATTTTTAAAATTTTTTACTATTTCTCTGTACGTTTGTGCACGCTAATCTCAGAAACGGCTTAACCGATTTGAATACGGTTTTCATTAATGCATTGCGGTTTACTTCGCTTAACATTTAGTGTTTGTTTTATACCAATCGTTTTATAAATAAAATAAAAAAAGTTATATCGACCTAAATCAATATATCTAATATATAAAATTCTCGTATCGCGGTGTTTGTTACCAAACTCCTCCGAAACGGCTTTACCGATTTTCATGAAATTTTGTGTGCATATCGGGTAGGTCTGAGAATCGGCCAACATCTATTTTTCATACCCCTTAATAATAAGGGTGACCCACCCCTAAATATTTTTTTTTTTGACATTTTTTTTTTATTTTTATTTTATTATGATTTAGCACTGAAAAATACATACAAAATCAAATTTTCACGCTTTTACGATCAACCCCTGTTTTTTAATCGCAATTTTTATATTCCGCAATAGGGGTGCAAGATGGCGATCGAATATAATAATTGTAGTACGATAAATTTTCATGTATAGTTCTAGAAATAATGTATATGGTAAAACAACGTTTGCCGAGTCAGCTAGTCACATATAAAATGCTATAAAATAGCCTATCAGTTGATTTATAATATTTTGTTTTGTTCTGTTTTGCATTTCTCGGGTATTTTAATAAATTTATAGTTATCATACATACATATCTGACACGCCTGTCTCCCATTAGGGTAGGCAGAAACAATGGAACGCCAGATGCTTCGATTCAAACAAACCTCTTTCGCTTCTTCCATATTCATCAATCTTGTCATACACGCTCGCCGGTTACGGGTACTTTTAATTTGGCCCTTCTTCAGCACGTCGCCTATTTGGTCGACATACGTCCGTCTAGGGCGGCCCCTACCGACATCTCCATTCATTCTATTTATAGTTATTTTACAAATTTATGTAATAAATAAATATTCGATTCATCCTGTGATCACCATCTCTCAGATCAAAGCCCCCTCGGGTCTGGGGCCCGAGACATTTTACGCACTCTGCCATCGTATTGTTACGCCACTGCACTGAAATGCTTTCCCTGACGAGGCAAATGTTTTATATTGGACTCGTTGGTGGTACATAGATGGAGCCACTGCTCCACGACTGCCTGATCTACTGCCACGCGCACATGAACGACATCGTGAAGACGTCCACTAACCTCGCCTGTCTGAGTGACGCTCTACTTACCAGGTATGGCGTATTGTAACACTAGATAGATAGATAAGGGCGGAAGGGAGTGTTAGTAATGCGGATTAACAGTTTTATTGCTAGCAATATACCCCGTCGACTTCCAAGTGGTTCTCCCTGGAAATCATCGTGCTGAATTCCATGTGTATTAGTTACGATGGGCTAACTGACCTACTCTGGGGGGACAGGGATTGTTAGTAATGGAGACTGAGAGTCCCATTGCTAGCAATATACCCAACCAGGTCGACCACCTCGCGGTTCTCCCTGGAAACTATCATGGTTAATTCCTGATGAATTTATCATGATGGGCTAACTGGCCTGTTTTCATTCTCACCTATCACCCTTCACTGGTGCTCCGCCAGCGTATCCCGTTAGCGCAGGCGGGGTTACCATACCATTTTCACCCATAAAAAAAAAACTGACCTGCTCTTTCATTTTCGCTTATCATCCCTCACTGGTGCCTACCGATAGCGCAGGCAGGGTTACCATTCCATTATCATCAATAAAAAAAACGGCTCCATTGCTAGCTTTGTATCAGGTTGATCTCCACGCGGTTTCTCCTGGAAACCATCGGGTTAATTCTTATGGGATTCATCACGATGGGTTAACTGACCTGCTTTCATCCTCAACTATCATCTTACATTGGTGCCCTAACCAGCATATACCGATAGCGCAAATGGTGCTAACATTCTATTTTCACCCATTAAAAAAAAAGTTAGCCCAGTTCCGCCTAGAAAAACAGAAACTTTTTGGACTCTTCGCAGGCCTCACGGAGCGGCCTCACTTCTCGAGGATTTCTGAACTGTTTGTTTCTGTGGCCACAGCTACATATTCCAGGATTACGTGAACAGCCGTTTGTTCGGCATCAAAACAGCTTCGACCTAGAGAGCTGTCTTTATCTATGTGGTGAATAGATATTAAGAAAATATTATCTAAACCAGGTTAGCGGCAATGTACACGAATGCGGAATTAGAAGCAATAAGAGATCGGAAGGACAAGGTCCAGTCGCGTCTCTACTGCAAGATGATAATGTCCCTGGCCGAGCCTGTACCTGAGACGCTGCGCGGACATTACGCCACTCTCGCCACTCTCTTCAAGTGTTCCAAGTAAGATATATTTGGGATGAATTCATCCTCACACCTTTAAACCTATTTAATTATAAATCTATTTAGTTTTTGCCAGAGACTACAGTATGGGGTTCTTCAAAAAGGCTATATTAAGATTTCTTTAGGATCAGCAACGTATATATGACACCCCCAGTGTTGCAGGCGTCCATAGGCTACAGTGACCGGTTACCATCAGACGGACCGTATGCTTCTTTGACATCTTTGTAGTATAAAAAAATTATAAGAAAATTTGAACCCTCTGACTCAATGCAACAACGAGCTATGGGAATTGTCGATGGTCCCAGGCGTCCAAACGGTATAACCCTTAAGTCTTAGGAGAGATTTTGTCTCACTCTGGGTATTCTATTGCTTGAACAATGGACTGTACTCAGAGGAATTGGCACAATTAACTGCCTTTTTTATAGAAGTAAGACAAATCATTCATAAAGCTTTGTGTTATTCTAAATCAGGTGCAACAAATTACTAGGGCGGCACATAGCTGAGCAGGTGCCGTGCCAGCCCGCCAGCATGAGGATCGACCGGCGAGGGAACGTCATCTCCACACACAGCAAGTTGGTGTTCTCTTCAATCTAAATACAAATCTATTATTTGTACGAGAAAGTGGATTTTAGAACAATTTGAAACAGAACAAAAACTTCTGTTTTTTCCCAAATTTAAGTGTATGCATTTTTCACAAGGCTGTTCTGTTCAAATCCTCTGAGTTGTGTCAACTACAGGTGAGTTGCTTATTTAGCATTCATCATCTTCATCGTTAACTCAGCCACTATATGTCCACTGCTGGACATCGGCCTTCTTGAATGCCTTCCACTATGACAATAACACAAGTCTCCCCTATAGAATGCCATAAGGAGAGCCTCCTGCATCCATTTGAATTCTTCATTTTATCTAAAGGAGGTGGGAGTCGTTCTGCATTTAGTATTGCTGGCAGTATATTCTGTCAGGTTCATTTTCACGTGGTCCCTCTAGGAAACCTCGTGGTTGATTCCTTAATATTGCTACAGTAGGCCCATTGACTTTATCCTCATTCTCCGCTGGTGCCCACCATAAAGTCTGGTGTCATCGTATACCATTAACATTCCAAATGTTGACGGTAAATGTGTAATTTTTTAAAGCCAGTATTGTGGTAGTGTATATAAGCTTTTAATGACTCTTTGATGACACATGACTCATGATGATTGCAAGCAAGATCTAATATTATTTATAATGTATGGAAGAATATATATACAGGGACCAATCTTGGAGCCTGAATGAGTACATAACCTGGTTATATGGGGAGCTGCGCTCGTGGCGTCGCGTCTACTGGAGATTGTGGGCTGACTGCCACTTCCTCAGGTGTCAGTTGTGCGACAGCTACTTCCCTGCTTATCAGGTAAGGTCACGGATACGAATCTTTTTCTACAACTTAGAATGGCAAACAAGCTGACGGCCCATCTGATGGAAAGTGGTAACCGTCGCCTATACACATGAGTAGTACCATGGACATAACAGAGTGTACTGTTTCGCCCATGATACCCCCCATGCGTTGCCATTCCTGAGGACACAGGTGTTTTGCCTCTGTACCCTGTAAATTCTCTGCCATATTTCACCCTTCAAACCGAAACACAGCCATGCAAAAACAAATGATTCACGGTAGAAACACGAATAGGACAGAGGTGTCCAAGCATACGACTTTTGTACAAAGTCTCGCTCTTGTAAATACATACGTATATACGAATCTATTAAATAAGGTCTCTTTCACATTTTTAAATTCTACATAATTTTCTTATTAGAGCTACAAATAAAGTATCATAAAGAAATTGCGGAGATACTGCTCGTAGCAGACAGGCATAAAGTTTTTTTTTTTTTTGAGATCAGCAAACAATCGTTATATTATTATTTCAGCCTTTAACTGTTTACTGCTGGACATAAGCCTTCCCCATAAGAGGAGTTTTGCCAATAGTTGCCACGCTTGGCAGGCGGGTCGGCAACGCAGTTAGGCTTTTAGAGATGTTTAAAGAGGGACGCTGCTGCCCATCCCTCGCTCCGGGAAAGGTCGCTACGGGAAAGGAAGGGGTGGCCTATTTTATGCCGGGACTACACGCTGAATCGTTATATAGGTGGTACTTAATTCGGTTAAAGACGTTTAAATGCTAGTTAACCACACATTTATATTTTAATTTACATACGTACATACATACATATCTGTCACGCCTGTCTCCTGTATTTTAATTTAATTTCTTGATTTTCCAAAAGGCAAAAACTTTTTTAACAAAAATAAAAAATAAGTTACGTATTAATAGAAAAACCACACCTATTCATGGTGCCACTGCCTCAGTTCTGAATCTTCAGCATTACTGCGTTTAGATTCACAATATAATTAGCAATAATCGGAATATTTTTGTTCCTGATCTTGTTGTTATTACTCCAAAACAACACCGGGACTTAATCTTCACTAGGACCCAAATCAGGTCTTTGCAATCAAGTCAATTTCTCCTGTTATTATTCAGATGGAGTGGTGTTCTCACCACGAGCAGTCGGCGCACATGTTTGCGGTGGAGGGGCGGCCCCCACTGCCGGCCGGCCGGTACCCGTGCTGCGGGGAGAGAGCCTACCGCTTCGAGACTATCACCAGGAACACTGTAAGATGTTTAGCATTCTGAGCCAGAATTATTTATTTATTTTTATTTATTTACACTTTATTGCACCAAGTAAAAAGAGAAATAACAAATACAGTAAATATTAATGAGAAGTGATACAAAAGGCGGCCTTATCGCTAAGCAATCTCTTCCAGACAACCTTTGGGTAGAGGACATTGAGAAAAAGACAAAGAGTAGGTGGCGCACTATTATATAAATATTATCATATAGATACATACCTACATATATACACATACATATATAATATATACACAATTAAATATATACATAACATACATACATACATACACATACATATATAATATATACACAATTAAATATATACATAACATACATACATACATACACATACATATATAATATATACACAATTAAATATATACATAACATACACATACTTAACAGCACACATACAACAGAAAAAAAAAATGACGAAGGAAAACGAAGAGAGAACACAGGAAATAGTACTAAAGTGAGAGGTAGTAAGATTATGTCCACTGTTGAACATAGATTTCCTCCTAGATAGACTTTGTCAGTAGTTGCACTGCTTGGTAGGTGAGTCTTTTTTCAATGGATGAAAATAGAATGGTAACTCCGCCTGAACTAACGGTATACACTGATGAGGCACCAGTAAAGGATGAATGGTGAGGATGAAAAGGCAGGTCAGTTAGCCCATCGTGATGAATACACTTGGAATTCAACACGATGGTTTCCAGGGGGGACCACGGGGAGGTCAACCTGATAGGGTATATTGCTAGCAATAGGGATGGTAGTCCGCATTACTAACAATCCCTTCCCTGCGGAATACCAACCGCTTACCAAAGGAGATTCCCTTACTATTTTTCTAGAGAGCCAAACGTTCGTATACTGCGGTAATCATTTTCCACGAAACAAGCTATAAATTGGTCATCTTAGTTTTATAATAAATTTCTACTAAGTAGGAACGAACGGTGATAGATCAGACGGACGTAGCTGCGGTTCAGAAGCCCCAAGATCAAATCCCAGCACCAATCCCAGAATTTTCAAAATCATGTTTGATTTATTTAAAGATGTTACTTGGTCCGTACTTTGAAGAATATGTAAAGCCAGGTTAAAGGTCCGTATATAAGGTGGTCTTGAAGCTCTTGGCACCAGAGGGCGTTATACGAATAGTAGAAGTAGTACCAGACTTACTCCCCAGGGTTGTCAATTCCGCGAGCACGTGCCAGACGAACGGCTGGCGACGGATGCTGCGGTGATGGAGGTGTACAACAAGTTTCGGGACATCATCGCCATGAGGCCACCGCAGCTGATGTTTCCGGAGCGGCTCACCAGGCTCGTGCCTAGGGGTAATAATAATAATAATAACTGTATTGAATAATAAATTAATTTTTTTTATACAACTTAGAATGGCAAACAAGTTGACGGCCCACTTGATGGAAAGTGATAACCGTCGCCTATACACATGAGCAGTACCATGGACACAACAGAGTATACTGTTTCACCTATGATACCCCCCATGCGTTGCCATTCCTGAGGACTCGGGTGTTATTCCTCTGTACCCAGTAAATTTACGCCATATCCCACCCTTCAAACCGAAACACAGCCATACAAACACAACTGCTTCACGGTTGAAACACGAATAGGAGAGAGGTACCCAAACAATCGACTTTTGTTAGACATTTAGTTAGATGTACTAGCCACTGAACTAGGCCATGCCTGTATCTCAGTAAGCAGTAAGAAGCGACTAAGAGAACATAAAAGTCGAGAGATAGACAGTACCGTCCCTCTCAAAATATCATCAAAGCCAGTAGCAGTTAGCGGTTGCTAACCCGCCTGCCAAATATAGCGACTATTGGCAAAACCTCCTAATTTATGGAAGAGGCCTTCATAGTTGACAGATAACGATTGATATGGTAATGAATGAAGATGATGAACTCGTTTCCAAGAACTAGGTGAAGACAGCGGTGGCCGTCTGCAATGCAAAGAGGTGTTCTGGTGGGAGGGCATCCAACTGGTGCCTCCGCGTCAGCACCTCGGCCTGCTCGGGAAGATGTATACCAGCAACAACAAGTTCAACCGTGAGATATTACTGTTTATTTGATCATGTGGTAGTAACTTGGTCGGGTGACGTGTTGGAAGATGTTATATGAAAGGGTTTTTATACACGTGTTTGAAACCTTCAAATTAAATTTACACTATATATTACAAACTACATTAATTTAATCCAACACGTCATCGCATCATGTAAGTACTATTCACATTAATCATATACCTAGATAGTGTAAATAGTATGTTATGAAATAATCACACAAGTATACAATCTGTCTGTCCAGTATTGCTTTTGTCTAAAATTGTCAAGCGTCAACATTTAGGGGTTGTTTGGAGGCGGACTGTAATCATATAAAATATCACATTAAGGGTTAAGGACAACAATAACATAACTATACTATTTCTTAATCATCAATATTATTTCTGTTATAAAGTACTTGTTTTATTTGTGTAATAGAAAGAAAGAAAGGAAGAAAAATTTTTATTTAAGTAAACTTAGATTTAACTTTCATTTTTTCATTACCGCTCATTCGAAATGCAATTTCAGCCAAGAAAAACGGGCAAGAAACTTAGCTATTGTTTTTTTAAAAGTTAATTTTACTAATAAAACTAAACCGCATTTTAAGAAATTAAGCTTTATTGGACAGATTGTGTATTTTCTCTAGTAGCGAGTTTGTGTAGCAGCCATGTGTAAATTATGCTTTGGAATGGTGCGTAATGACTCGGTAATTTGCAATTGGCTGACACATACAACAAAATTGTATATACACTGAATGTGCAAAGTATATATTTATATAGCAATCGTTAGCAATACAATTTGATATAACGGGTAAGACTATCCTAGCTCGAAGGACCAAAATGTTTTGGTCCTTCGAGCCGCACTGAAATGTAATAGTAATTTTAGTTACCTCGTGGCTGCTATAATTTTTTTTAAATTTAAAGCGTAATTTTTTAATTTAAGTAAAATTTTGTATATTGATTAAAATTTATTTATCACGTTAATTAAACCATTGTAAAATTTGATACAATATAAAAAAAATTAAAACAAGGAAATAAGTACATTAAAAAATACTGCACGAGGAGTATTTTGGGCGTTACAGTAATAATGTTCATGTCTATAGGGGATGGTTACCACTTTTTATTAGGTGTGTCATCAAATGGTACCCATTCCGAGTTGTATAAAGTGGTGGTAGTATGAATATTGTGAAAATGGCGCACACGCAGCGTGCGCTCGGCCCGGCTCGCCGACGTTGGGCGGCGTGAGGGTCTCCACTCAGTCCCTCGCCGGGAACTGCCCCGGGGGCACCTCCCAATCACCAGATCGGGAGACCAAATCGAAGCCCCAACTGCGCGAAGCCAAAGAGGAACCATTACAACCCAAGGTAAGTGATTGACGCGTATCCGGCACGAAGGATCAAAGCCAATATGATCGGTATTGGGGAAATTACAATTTTAAAGAGTATGTACCTTTATTTTTTTTTCTAGTTTCTAGTTCTCGCTGTGATAGATAAATATGGAAGAACATATATGTATTTAGTAATATCAAAGGCACCATAACACAACTCATATGCTGGTAGTAGCGCCTATAATTCTCGACAAGTCCAGTTGACAAAGTCATAGGCGTATTTTAAGAGTGAGAGAGTCGTGCCTATCTTATAATTGTCCGGTGTCCTACCGCAGGATGCGTACGAAGCAAAAGCAAAGATATGTCTTGGAATACATATACTTCTATGCATTATTAAGTGGCCAGGGACCCTGAAATATTACTTTAATTACGCCAATGACCAAGTCCTGTACAACATATAATTATAACTTACTACCTATTTCTTGGTATTTAATACCAACTAGCTGACCCCGCGAAAGTCATACCGCCTAACAGTCGTATCTGAGGGGGAAAGGGATTGTTAGTAATGGGGACTGAGAATCCCATTGCTAGCAATATACCCAACCAGGTCGACCCCTGGAAACTATCATGGTTAATCCCTGATGAATTCATCATGATGGGCTAACTGGCCTGTTTTCATTCTCACCTATCACCCTTCACTGGTGCTCCGCCAGCGTATATCCTGTTAGCGCAGGCGGGGTTACCATACCATTTTCACCCACCAAAAAAAAAAACAGTCGTGTCTTTAATTTTTTAGTTTTTTTTTTAATACTTATTCTGCTATTCGGGACACCTGGTCAGCTAGTAAGATAAAAAAGGAGAAAAAAAATGTAATAAGTCAACAATTACATTATGTGAAAAAATAAAAATGACAAAACACGCCGTGCCACGGCACTCAATTGTTTTGCCTTTCCGGAACCTCTCCATTAACACTGAACTTTATGGATATGGCATATAAAGTTCAAATTGACATTTAAGTATTACGTATCGTTTGTAAGGGAATATAGAAAAGTGTTATTTTTAGACTTTTTCATGCATTTTTTTAGATATTTCTAAAAAAAGAGTTGGCGGAATCGGTTCAGCTATTCTCGAGTATTTGCCCTTAGAAACACATTCAGCGATTCATTTTTATATTATAGATTACCTAGTAATTACTACCTATTACTTAGTACTTACTATTTAGTGCCTAGTGATTAGTTAAATATACACAAAAGTATGCAATTCACTCATTAATGTCGTAGTAATTATACTGTCGCTACCAAGAGGGGATTTGACACCATTGTACAAGTATTGTATATAATATTTGAGCAGAAACTTGCACTAGTCTAGCTTCAAGCACTCTCCAATACATTCATACACACACAGAATGCGTGTGAGTATATTTTTAATGGATGGAGATGAAATGGTAACCCCGCCTGCGCTAACGGTATACGCTGGCGGAGCACCAGTGAAGGGTGATAGGTGAGGATGAAAGCAGGTCAGTTAGCCCATCAAAAGGATGTATTAAGGTTTCTTCAAAGTCAGCAACGCGCATGTAACACCCTAGTGTTGCAGGCGTTCATACGTTGCAGTAACCGTTTATCATTAGATAGACAGCTACTGTGTTAGGTTGACTGGAAGAAATCTCTTTTAGAGATATGTTCGCCTTTGCTAACATTAATATTGCATTAACAATTAATATGCAATAATTTATTTGCATTACTTACAGCACACAAACAGCAAAAGACACAAATGCAAAGGAAAATAGATAAAAAAAGATGCATGTACAAAAAATAAAAAAAAAAACAAAATCAGAATGTATAAAATTAGTAACAATTTATTTTCTTCATGCGTGTGCCACAGTAATACAAAATGGCCACAACTCAGCTTTTTGCTTTGTCCTAAAAAAGAGCAAAACACTGATATTCTGTTGTGGCCAAAGGTGAGCCGCGAAATACCACTGAAAAAAATAAAAATAAAAAAAAAAGAAAGAAATATTGATCAAATACATTGTGTGCGTTCGTTATATTCGCTATTTAGAAAAAGGGCTGTATACTTGTTTGACACCTTCGTGGTATAAAAAAAAAGTATGTCTAATTATTATATATTTAATGTTTCGACATGTATCAGGAGAAAATATATAAAGCTTTACTTTTCATACGTTATTTACGGATAGTATTATGTTATCTGTGCTTAGGGTTATAATCAAAGATTTCGGAATAGAATAGATGGAATGAATAATTCGCATAGTGTGTTGCTCGTTGTATTAATGACATTGCTAATGCGTTAGAGAGAGATAGGCATATAAAAACGCATCTGCCTTTTAACTAGTCCGTAGAAGTCAATTTCATGAAGATATGTCACTTGTTTTTATTGAGTGTAACCCTATCAAATTCAGATACAACCTGTTTGCATAATTTCTACATAAACTGTGTCGAATATATAATTTAGTAATGTAAATGAACAAAAATTTTTACGTATACATTTTCTATATATTAGCCTGCTATGAATTGGAAAAAATAGCAACTGATGGTGTATCTTTCTTCCTCTTTTTACTAATTATATTTGCATAAGAAGAAAGGAGGCAACCAAATGATTTACAATTTTTATTTCATCATTCCTTCTATGTAATTCCTTGTTCTTAGGTTTCGACACTTGGATTTTTTTAATTTAACTCTTTCTAACCGCTTTCTCATATTCTTTCTTTGCTTCCGGTTGATCTTATGAGAACATTTGCCTCACATAATCATTCTGTACTCGTTGAAAACTTAATTTTATATTGACATAATTCTAATATACAAAGAAAGGTATCCAAGTGAGCGGAGTGTTACCGGCCGGCGGTGATGCCACTGATGATGGAGGTGAGCAGACCAGCTCGGACGAGAGCGAGCAGAGTTCGGCGAGCGCGAGGAGTGAGGAGGACGCTCCGCCGAAGAGGACTCCTCGTCTGCCGCGCCCGCGGTCCAATCCACCAATCAAGTGAGTGTACACAGGGACTTGTATATTATAAAATATTAGTATAATTGTTGTAGCTAATTTTGGTATATTCTTTAGAAAGGCGTATACGAAAATCCCTTCTTTGCATAATGGTGGAAATTTCCATCATAACATTTAATGTCCAAAATTTATATAAAGGACAAGTTCGCTTTAAATTGATCGTGTTTGGATACCTTTTTAAAGTCCATTGCGGAAAAAAAAAACATAGCTGTCAAATTTATTTTTTTCTAACCATTTTTCCTTTAATTTTGAACATGAATTATATCACCTTTATTTATTTCACCAATAAAAAAAAATCATGCTAAGAAGGGTTAACATACAATCCACACACTGATCCATTCGATATACTTTACATCCATATTTAACGCACACAAACACACGACACGCCGTCACCTAATGTTTTATAATATAAGTGTAGGTTAGGGGGAAAAGGGATTGTTAGTAATGGAGACTGAGAATCCCATTGCTAGCAATATACCCAACCAGGTCGACCTCCTCGCGGTTCCCCCTGGATACTATCATGGTTAATTCCTGACGAATTCATCATGATGGGCTAACTGGCCTGTTTTCATTCTCATCTATCACCCTTCACTGGTGCTCCGCCAGCGTATCCCGTTAGCGCAGGCGGGGTCACCATACCATTTTCACCCATTAAAAAAATACATGGGTCATATATATATATATATATATATATTTTTTTTTTTTTTTTTTTGATATGAGGTTTGTGAATGCAGGCGCGGGCGCGCGGCTGGCCGGCAGTGGGCGGCGGCGCTGTCGGCGCGCAGCAACCAGGACGCGCAGCGCCGCTACGAGGAGCGCGCCGCCCGCGCCATGCGGGCCGCGCTTGGCCGCCGCGCCGCGCCGCCGCCCGCGCCGCGACGCACGCCCGCCGGTACGTTTTATTTTTATTGGATGAAAATGGAGTGGTAGCCCCGCCCGCGCTAACGGGATACGCTGGCGGGGCACCAGTGAAGGGTGATAGGTGAGAATGAACACAGGCCAGTTAGCCCATCATGATGAATTCATCGGGAATTAATCATGATAGTTTCCAGGGGGAACCACGAGGAGGTCGACCTGGTTGGATATATTGCTAGCAATGGGATTCTCAGTCTCCATTACTAACAATCTCTTCCCCCCCCCCCCCCCAAATGCAATGTTAACTGAATGAATCTTAATTTAATAATTAATAATTTAAAAAAGCTCATCGAATACCGATCAAACATTTATTTTTTAACAGTTTTTTAACACTTTTTATATCAATTTTTTATGATTCGCCGAGAAAATCTAAACTAGCAAAAATATTTTCTAAGAAGCGACTAAGGAAGGTCGAGGGATGGGCAGCAACGCCTCTCTTAAAAAAAAAACACCAAAGCCTAACTGCGATTGCTAATCCGCCTGCCAAACGTGACAACTACTGGAAACAATTCATCAATCATTATTTTCCAAGAGCACAATACGCTCAATGTATTCCGCGTGGAGGTCTATCTGACAACGTATATAGCCAGTAATGGGTCTGCATTACCTCATTACTTCATACAAGGTTATTTTATCTTGCAATATGAGCAATTTTTATCTTCAGGAGGTGTTTACGTCAAACTAGAGACAGAATGGCGCGAACGACACGGCCAACGGACGCGGAGCACGGCGTCGGCCCGGCCGCGGCAGCCTGCCAACAAATTCAAGTGAACACACGGACAGACAGCGAGCTATATCTATAAATACCAACACTATATTATTAATAATATAGAGTTTAGATGATATAATTACACGATTATTTATTTGCTTTGAGTCGATATTCGAAAAATTTCATCCCAACCATCTGGACGAGTGGCGGTCCTCCACCGTGCGTTTTTCAAGGCACTTCCTTCCACGCACAACCACTCTTTGGAATCAACTTCCAGCAGCAGTATTTCCGAACCGATACGACATCGTAACCTTCAAGAAAAGAGCGTATTCCTTTTCAAAAGGCCGGCAGCACACCTGCAATGCCGTTGGTGTTGTGGGTGATCATGGGCGGCGGTAGTCACTTACCATCAGGTGAGACGCATGCTCGTTTGCCCCCTGTGTTGTAAAAAGAAAACAGTGAAAATCGTAAAGTTTTATATATTATGATTCTTGTATACAGGCACTCCTCGTACTTACGGCATGTTTTTTTTTTGATGGGTGAAAATGGTACGGTAACCCCGCCCGCGCTAACGGGATACACTGGCGGAGCACCAGTGAAGGGTGATAGATGAGAATGAAAACAGGCCAGTTAGCCCATCATGATGAATTCATCAGGAATTAACCATGATAGTTTCCAGGGAGAACCACGAGGAGGTCGACCTGGTTGGTTATATTGCTAGCAATGGGATTCTCAGTCTCCATTACTAACAATCTCTTCCCCCCCCCCCCGACTTACTGAATGAATGTTAATTTAATAATTAATAATTTAAACGTAAATCGAATACCGATCAAACATTTATTTTTTAACAGTTTTTTAACACTTTTAATATCAATTTTTTATGATTCGCCGAGAAAATTAAAAAAAAATATTTATCAGAGGATATAATACTTTATTATCAAAAGTAAGTCCTTAAAATAATTATATACAGTGAAGTAACTGCGATTCCTATGCCGGGAATCGAAACAATTGACAACTGCTTGAAACAATGTCAAAACATTGTTTGACGACATAACTTGAAACGACGTAAGTCGAGGACTGCCTTTATTAATCAAATATATTGGATTTAACTACCTACAAGACATGGGTAATATTGGCATTTTATCTTGCAATATCTATATATTTTTTTTTTAAACGGTTTACGGTCGCATAGAAACCTCATAGCGCGGACGACACTGAATCGACGCGGACATAATCGTAACTGGAGGTTTTGACCATCAATAATTCAAGCCGTTGAACACACGAACAGCCGAGCTCATGATCTACCAAAGTATAAGATATATTATTAATAATATAGAGTTTCAGAGGGGATATATTTTACACTATTATTAAAAGCTATTGAGTCGATATTCTAAAAATTCATCCCAACCATCTGAACTAGAAGGTCGTTTTTACCTACTTGTTATAGTGTGGGCTGCTTAATCAACTTCCAAGCAGTAACCCTGGTGTTAGTGTTCTCTCATGAACGTATGCCTTTTCGCAGCACACCTGCAATGCCGTTGGATATTGTGGGTGATCATGACAACCACTACCATCAGAGATATTAATGACCGAGTTTCACCTGTGTTGATAGGTAAGTAACTATTTATTTATTTTGTAGTTTTATATATAAAATAAAATTCGTTTAACTTAAAAGTTTTTTTACGATTTTTTTTTTTGATGGTGAAAAAGGTTCCGATATCGCTCGGGTCCTTTATTAAACATTGGATTTACATATTCGTTATTGAGCCTGTACATGTACTAAAATATATAGATGATATTGTTGTATATTAACCCTTAAATAGCTGAAGTTTCAAATTTGATACCGGCGTTTGCATTGTTTCATTGTTAAATAATTTTAAATATTTTGATTACCGTAATGCCTAAGGTATCAAAAATGATACCGAATATTTTTTTCGAAATAAATATATAAAAATATCTTTTTGATTTTTTTACTATTTTCCCCTATCAATAAACACAGTAAAGGGTACACTTATGTATTTTTTAATTTGATTTAAAAAATCAGACTTCTAAGGGTTAACCATCCGTACTACCTACGCCATTTTGTTATAATTGAAGAATTATCAATCCTACTTTTTGGACTTACCAGAGTGTACAAATTTTTTTTTTTTGTTTATCTATTAATACCTTTATATTAGTTGCAAAACTAATAAAATGCACTGAATGACGTGTGGTATTTTTTAAAAGGGCTATTGTCCTTAAATATACGCAAATATGAAAATTATTGGGGATAAATTTTATAAGTTTGTGTTTCACAGAAAAAGCAATTTCAAATGTGACAAATCAGTTATTTTCATTTAAAAAGTATGTGACAGATTCTGATAATATTTGTATGGTACCAATCTGTAAGTATATACTGTCAGATAAAAAAAAATTCAACCGAATAAGGAATCTCTTTCTTTTTGAAGTCGATACAAAATAATGTGAGTTGTTGTTTTTATTTTATACAACTTAGAATGGCAAACAAGCTGACGGCCCACCTGATGGAAAGTGGTAACCGTCGCCTATAGACATGAGCAGTACCGTGTACATAACAGAGTATACTGTTTCGCCAATGATGAATAAATTATATATTATTGTACATATTCGTTATTGAGCCTATATATATATATATATATATATATATATATATATATATATATATATATATATATATATATATATATATAATATAGTCATTATTAATAATTCAATATGTTGATGTAATGTATTCCAGTCAAACAGTAACGTATTTGTTTAAAATTAAATAATAATAAATTAAGTATTTTTAAGATAGTTCAAGAATAAACACAGTATGTAAATGTATTGCCATTTTTTTTTTGTCTTTTATCGACAGTTTGAATTAAGATTGCGTTCTAAAATAACAATTTCAATCGTGCTTAAATCAAGTATTGTCATTAAAAATCCGGTTATTTTAATAACTAAACTACTGAACTGATTTTGATTGTTTCTATTTTTCATCTTAAAGTATCGCCTTTTAAATAAAAAGATTCTCCGATTCGGTCCAGGCATTTTTAAAAGGGCTATTGTCCATATATATATATATATATATATATATATATATGGGATAAATTTTATAAGTTTGTGTTTGTAAGAAATATTTTTCAAATGTATGACAATTCGTGCAATTATTTTCATTTAAAAATATCTAAAAATCTGATAATATTTGTATGGTACCAATCTGTGCCGTATATACTGTCAGATAAAAAAAAATTCAACCGAATGGGAGATCTATGTTCGACAGTGGTCAAAATAATGTGATTGTTGTTTTTATTTTATAAACTTCCAGAATGCTACCAATATATCCTGTGTACGGCCCGCCTGATGGAAATCGGTTTACGTCGTATATACGACGGAAAGTACGTATAAAAGTTTTTTAAAAATTTTATGTTTACAATGATGAATAAATTATATATTTTATCCCCTTCAAAGTACTATATATATATATATATATATATATATATATATATATATATATATATATATATATATATATATTATATATAGTCATTATATAATAATTCAATATGTTATGTCGTATTAGTTTTTTTATATCATTTAAAATTAAAAATAATAAATTAAGTAAATTAAGATAGTTCAAGAATGTACCTAGTATGTAAATGTATTGCCATGGTAATAAAATTAAGTTTTTTTTTTATTATTTTTTTTTGTCTTTTTTCGACAGTTTGAATTAAGATTGCGTTCTAAAATAACAATTTCAATCGTGCTTAAATCAAGTATTGTCATTAAAAATCCGGTTATTTTAATAACTAAACTACTGAACTGATTTTGATTGTTTCTATTTTTCATCTTAAAGTAGAATTTTAAATAAAAACTGTCTGGATTCGGAGGGACATTTTGATGGACAATCCGAACATCTACCATATATATATATATATATTAGAACGCTTTCTGGCCCTCTCTAAATAATATTTTCATCTAATGTATGTACTCATATTCGTGCAATAAATAAATTGGATTTGAAATATCTAAAAATCTGATAAATTCTTGCCGAGTTGTCGAGAGAAACTTGCCGACGCGCAACTCTGGCGGAAAACCCCCTCATGGGACGGGGTTTCGACAGTGGTCAACTTCACAGGGCTGATTGAACAACTTGGGTCAGACCAGAACTGAAGCATTGTTAATAATAACTTCTCCAGTGCTACCAATATATCCTGTGTATCTCCGCCTGTGATATCGGTTTACGGTATATATCGGGCACTAGTGACAGATAAGTGAATGAAACAGGTCCACTCCAAGTTGTTCCCTCTCGAAACCATGTGGTCAGAGGGAGACTTTTGTACAAAGTCTCCCTCTGGTAAACCTCAAATTTATTTCACGAATAAAAAAATCATGCAAAGAAGGTTTAACACAGAGATTAGTGCGGGTAAATCCGCGGGGAACAGCTGATAAATGAAAAACTACGATTTTGTCAATAAAATTTATTGACAGTTTTAAAACTTATGCCTAGAAGCGCAGCCGGTGCGGGTACTGGCTGGAGCGCAGGCCGAACGCCGCCCGCAGGTAGCCGCGGAGCGTTTTCTTGTCGGCGCGCTTGCCAATCGCTTTGATCACCGCCTCGTCCACCAGCTTCTGGTCGGTCTTGCGCTGTTCCGACGGAACGTATTTCTGCAAATAGATACATTTCCATTTATAATCTTACTATAATTCATAGTACACTTAAGAAATAGTATGTACTGAAGTTTTATCAGAGGGAGACTACAAAAGTAGTTTGCTTGGGTACCTCTGTCCCATTCATGTTTCTACCATGAAGCAGTTGTGTTTGCGTGGCTGTGGTTCGGTTTGAAGGGTGGGATATGACAGTAAATTTACAGGGTACAAAGAAATAACACCCGAGTCCTCAGGAATGGCAACGCATGAGGGGTATCATGGGCGAAACAGTATACTCTGTTATGTCCATGGTACTGCTCATGTCTATAGGCGACAGTTACCACTTTCCATCAGGTGGACCGTCAGCTTGTTTGCCATTCTAAGTTGTATAAAAAAAATCACAATCGAGAACCTCAGTTTTTAAAGTCAGTAAAGAATATTTATATTTAAAAACGTAAACCAAACCAACCTCTTTCTTAGTGACAAATATGTCCTCCCCCTGTTTACGCTTGACGCTGCGTTTGACGCTCTTCTTGTTCTTCTTGAAGTACGCGTCGTCCAGATGGGCGGGCAGCTTGAAGTCGCCCAGGTCGATCTTGGTAGAGGTGCCGATCACGAACCGCTGCGGGATGCGGCGCAGTGGGCACGCGTTGAACTGAAAAATGTTTACCAGTAGATTATAGCATTCTCTCTTCACCCATTTACTAGGAATTTGAAATGAAATAGTGCATATTTTGTGGTACGTGAGTCTATCTGGCAAGTCGTAATAATACATACATATCTGTCTCGCCTGTCTCCCATTAGGGTAGGCAGAAACAATGGAACGCCAAATGCTTCGATTCAAACAAACCTCTTTGGCTTCCTTCACATTCATTAATCTTTTCATACACGCTCGCCGGTTACGGGTACTTTTAATTTGGCCCTTCTTCAGCACGTCGCCTATTTGGTCGACATACGTAATAATAATGATTACTTATTACAAATTACTTAATAGTTATTACATCTCATAATGTTGGTTGTTTGATTGGGATTATTTCGTTTAATTCAGCTAAGATTCATATGTTTTTAACTGATAAAACTTGAAGATTGACAAAATAAAAAAATTAAGTAAAATAAAATAAAAAAAAAGTACTTTAAAATAGTAAAATATTTTTAGTATTTGCATGTGTGTCTGTATGTGTATATATGCATATCTGTGTATATGTATGTATAAAGATATAAGTTTAGTATATAGAATTAGGATATAAGTTTATAAAGCATCATTGTGTATTTGCAATATATAACAATATATAAGAATATATATATATATATATATATATATATATATATATATATATATATATATATATATATATATATATATATATATATATTTAAGTTACAATATATTGGTATCGGACCAATATTATTAATAATAGTGATATTGAATCGAACCAATTACCTGGGGGTCTACCATGAAATGAAATTTCGGGCTCAATTTCGTGTTTTTGTTCATACCAAAATCGACCCAATAAATGGAGCTTAACATTTGTCATAAATCCTACCATAAAAGTAAAAAGGAACGATATTTTAGCATTTTTAATATTTTTAAACAGTATGTATCAAGTAATTTTAACATCAAAGTTTTGTTTCATTCGGATCCGAAATTTCGGAAAACATTTCATGGTAGCTCCTCTGATTAAGACCCAAACTAACTTAATCCTCACCTGTCATCAGTCACTGGCAACCTACCAACATAAACTATTATGGTGTTATCAAACAATCATAAAAAAAAATTAGCTAAAACTCACAGCGAAAGGTCCAGTGACGAGCAGCAGTCCACTGGGCAGGACGCCAACCAATACGACCCTCTTGCCGGCGTGGCGGCCGGCCAGCAGGATGCACACGGCGCCAGGAGTGAGGTTTGGTCGGATCCTGCGCACGTGCTTGCTGAACGTCTTGTGGTGGGGACGCTGGCGAATCCTGTAAACAATAGTTGTAATAAACATGTGAATATTATTAAACTACAATTGGTTGGGGGGAAGGGGTTTTTTTAATGGGTGATAATGGAATGGTAACCTCACAACTGCAATTTTATTGTTAGGGAGGAAAAAGAACAGACAATCCACCTGATGGAAAGTGGCTACCATCACCCATGAACACATGCAATACGAGAGGAGATGCTTGTGCTTTTGTTTGAGAGAATGAACACCAACAACACAATTGTTTTCTTTCTATCTCCAATGATTGATTTATTGCCACATACAAAAATAAAGTGTTCTTATTAACCATTGAAAGCGTTCCTTTGCAATTATTATGATTAATACAAAAACATAGTCTCAATAGACAGGAGACTGGTTTATTTTCAAATATACTCACAGAACCACATTCTGGAATGGCAAAATCTTTAATTACTATATTTTTGTATCAATAATTCCCTTTATCAAAATAGACTACTAAGACATTATGTATTATTTATTTATGTATCAATGTTCTAAGTATGTGAGGTATTTTATAAAATTAGGGTATGATGAGGCTGACATATCCTTATAGGATAACGCCCCCTTGTGGGCACTGCAGGCCTAAAGGTGGTAAGAGACCCAGAAAAAAAAAAATCGAAGTGTTGTGTAGAGGCTCGTTTAGAATTAATGTTTAATCTCTGCTATATCACAATAACTGATTAATTCAATTTGAAGTAATAGTGGTTTTTAAGTTGGTGAAAAAATTGGGGCGCTAATAATTTATTCTCAAAGTGGGCAATAGACAAAATAAGTTTGAGAACCCCTGATTTACGAGTGTTTACTTAAGCTGCATTGAAACAAAATTTAAACGCTAAATGAAATTTTAAAATTGACTTACATGTTTAAAATAGAAAGGAAGAATTCTATAGAAAGTAGTCTACATAGATACAAATAATAAATGTTGAAAAGTGTAGCAACACACTGACTTCTCTCCTGGAAATATTAAGTTTTTTTTAATGGATAAAAATGAATTAGTGACCCCACCTGCTCTATTGGCTAATGGCTGGGCACCAGTGTGGGATGATAGGTGTGGATGGAAGCTCAGTTAGCTCATAAAAATGAATTCCACAAGAATTAATCATGATGATTCCCATGAGGAACCTGTTATTGCTAGTAATGGTACTGTTAGACCCCATTATTAATGGTCCTATTCCCCGTGTGGTGGAAGTTTACCATAAATATTACACAGCACATATCTTATTTGCCTCCTTAAAAATCAATGTGAATCAGACTCACTTGTCCTGTGTGGGGTAGAAGGACCTCCTGCGTCTGAGCAGGACTGTGCGGGTGCCTCCATTCTTCTCACCACCAATCTGCTTCACCACCACTGTTGGCTTTTTCGGCTTCTCAGCTTTGGGGTTCTTTTTGCCAACAAACTTGTACTTTGCCTGGAAATAATTATTGCCAATTGCAGTGAGTTAACTATTTTTATCGATTTTGTACATGTTGTGAATATGGGGGTAGTTTATGGATGGTTCATAAAACAGTAATTTTGTGAAATTATCAAAATTATAAGTTGAGAATAGGTTTAGATAAAGAGCAACTCGGAATTTGCTCCATTATATATATTTATGTCAGTTTGTTAATGGTGATGGACACCTCATTATGTACTCATATGCACTGAACTATAGGTTGTTTTTGACATAAAAAATATCAATTGATAATGGAAAAAAACAATTGTTTATTCAAATTAAGTTTAATCAAAGCTAAGGGGCGATCTATCAACTACTCACCTTCTTATGGAACATCTTCGTCTTGGAGAATCGGACAACTCCATTGCCCAAGTCATAATTTCTTGGTCTACCAACTTTGGTCTTCTTGACTCCGCCCGCTGGGGCCGCGGCGGGCTTGGCCGCCGCCTTGGGCTGTGGTGGAGCCATAACTATCTGTACAAACGAGATACAACCTCAATAACAAACTTGCCACCTGACTTATGAGGTTAGGTTATGTTTAGTTTCTCCAATTGGATCTCACAAATATGAGGTCTATTATTCTACACAATTATGATAATATATAAACTATGATTTTAATATAAAAACACTAAATATAACATATGGAAAGCCAAGAAATCACGAATACCAGTCACTAACCCAATTGTCAATTTAGCAAATTTAAGTTTAAAAGCCTGTTTATACGTGAAATATAACACAAAATCACTAGTAAATAAGATCGGACATATTATTTTTAAAACATATTAACTAGATCAGTGAATTTAGACGTAATTCAATTGGATTTATTTTCAATAAAAACAACATCAACTCACATTATAACCGGGATCAAGAAAAAGAAATTATAAGAAAAAAAATATCTATGGTGTTGTCAGAATAGTGTTGTCATGTAATCACAGATATAATAAATAAGATTTAAGCAGTCAAAGTGGTAGATTTTTTTAATTGATTTATTTTACTAATTAATTAAATAATGAAATTATATTATGTAATAGTAGTAATTTGCAATCTTACTGTAGTAAATTTAAAATAATAATACAAAAGTATAATTCATTTTTTTCATTTCATTTTAGTGTTTTGTTCTTTTTTCGTCAAATGAATGTTGCTATTATAATATATATATTTAATCTGTAACCGAAAACAGAGGACTACGTCACAGAATGTCACAGTGACAACGATGTCATAGTTATTTAATGTCAAAATTGTTGAAAAAATAAAAATCAGTGTTAAAAATGGCTTCTTTGAGGAGCCCGTCTTCGCCATCGGACGGTTACAAAAGGTTCAGTGATGATTTCGCAAATACCAGCATCAACAATTACGGCTCAAATGTCACAAGTAAACGGAAGCTAAAATTTTTCTATGCACTGTAGCCGCAAGACTTTATGTATGCTTTTTTTGTATTAACAATACATTGTAAATCCATTTAACATTTCGTTTTAATTTCTCACCTGTCTTTAGTATTAACGCCTGCTGTCCATATGTCACGATGGAATCGATTGGCTCCTCATTTAATGCCTTAATTGGGTAAATGACGCAGACACCGTAGGCATGAGTCATGCATGAGGAACTAAACACTAACCTATCTATAACATAAACAAAACAGTAAAGGATCCGACCCGACTCGACCTAAATTCATCTAGCCCGCATAACGCTTCGAGGCTTGAGTAGAAAATCGCCAGGCATGCCCATATTTATTTGCATACTTAGTTTGCATGCTTTTTGCACACTATATGTAAATAGTACCAATAATTTCGATTTATGTAATTATTCAGGTATTTATCTAAGTATATTTACTACATACCAACTAACTAGTTATTTTTCTATTTAAAATAAATAGTACATATAGTAACTTGCCTGTACTTGTCTATATATCCATTAATTATCTGAAGAAAAACCATTTAAATTTAAATGGTGCTCCGCCATCTATTTAGCGCAGGCGGGGTTACCATACCATTTTCACTCATCAAAAAAAAATAGATATCTATTCCAAATGTTAACCTATATTGTCAGTTCTTAGTCAACCAGTCCGAAATCGCGCTGGGTCTCGTTCAAAAATCTAGTTCAATTTACTTTTGCACTGTAAATGAGCACTAAAGTGAGAGGGATTGTCAGTCTATAACAGGGACACTAGTCTATATTTCTATCAATATTTTTTTCTTTTTTTCGTCGTTGATTTCGGTCTCTGGAAAAACTGCCGTAGTAAAATCGAGTTCGGCATGATAATTGACCAGACGTTATTCTCATCGTTTTATCTTCCACTAGTCCTCTGCAATTGTATGCCGTTTTTTTATGGATGATAATGAAATGTTAACCCCGTCTGCGCTGACGGTATACGCTGGCGGAGCACCAGTGAGGGATGAAAGGTGAGAATGAAGCAGGTCAGTTGGCCCATCGTGACGAATTTCACTAGAATTAACCATGACGGTTTCCAGAGAGAAACTGCGTGGAGGTCGACCTGATAGGATATATTGCTAGCAATGGGTCAATTAGACCCCATTACTCTCTTTCCCCCCGATAGGATATATTGTTAACGTTAAGACTGGTAGTCCGCATTACTAACAATCCCTTCCTCTCCAATAAGGGATGTTTTTTTTTATGGGTGAAAATGGTATGGTAACCCCGTCTGCATTAACGGGATACGCTGGCGGAGCACCAGTGAAGGGTGATAAGTGAAGGGTGGTGGTTATACCGTTGTCACAAATTACCGCTAGATAACTTTAAACATTTCAGTAAGGGATGTTATTGCAGTGAGATCAAATGGACTTTTTTTTAAATGGGTGATAATGTTTCCTCTAACAACCATGATATCTATTTGTCACAATGAATAAAGCGGACGAAGTCGCGGGTTAAAATTAAGTTTAGGTTATACCGTTGTCACATCGCTAGATAAATCCTTTATCGCCCCAGTGTTTTTTTTTTTTTATTGATAATGGTGGTTGTCCACGGTTCGTAGGTAGATAGATGAGAGAGCAGCCCATTGTTAAAAAAAATAACCACGATGGTGGAACTGAGACTATATTGGCAATGGAGTTTATTATCCCTTTCTCATTACAGTGGCAACTCGTAGGTAGGTAGAGAGCAGAAAAAAAAAAACTTAGGCAAAAAAGATAAAAACTCTTAAAAAAAAAACCTTGAAAAAAAGAGGTGTGTGTCCTACGTCTCTTTGATCCCATCGAGAATTAATTCCATAAACAATGACTGACTTTACCTAATACATTATTTTTTAGCAATTCGCAGTAACTTATTCATTATTCATAATAATCTTTGTCACGCTGTTTAACCATTTATCAAACGGTTCTCCGAGATTTGTCGAACAATAGAATTCTTTACCACTTAGATATTAAGTATGTCGATACGAAAGTAGGTATATGTAGTATATTCCATGCTTAGATTATAGGTATAGATAGAGTGACTCCATAGAAATGCTTCGAGAAAAACAGCTCAAGTTTTTTATACAATTTTGCATGATAAATAGTTATGAGTGATTCCTTTATAACTATTATATTTACTTTTATAAATTTTGCATCTTTTTAATGCATAAATACTCATTTTATTTATTAAATAACACGTCAAAATATATTTAATGCGTAAATATATAGAATACTGATAAAAAAGAGGCAACTAATTTGACAATTAACTGACAAAAAGTTGACCCGTTTTTGTGGTTCGATACTCTATCTATATAATCTAAGATTCCATCTTTTTTTTTTATACAACTTAGAATGGCAAACGAGTTGACGGTCCACCTGATGGAAAGTGGTAACCGTCGCCTATAGACATGAGCAATACCATGGACATAACAGAGTATACTGTTTCGCCCATGATACCCCCCATGCGTTGCCATTCCTGAGGACTCGGGTGTTATTCCTCTGTACCCTGTAAATTCACGTCATATCCCACCATTCAAACCGAAACACAGCCATGCAAACACAACTGCTTCTCCTCCTAAACCTCCTAGATCTATACTTAGACTATTATATTTTTAGAAACATTGCAATGAGTGGCGTGTAGGTACTTATGAATGTACGGTACCCATCAGTTTTTATCACTGATAAAGTGATCGATTCCATATCATGCAGAAGTGGACAACATTTGGTGAATTTTTTTTTCTCACTAAATTGGATATGTTATATTAACAAAAGACATACACAAACATGTTTTAGTACTGCATTTTGTTGTTTACATGATGTGTAACATTGTCGATGTACCAATAAACAATTAAATCACTACATAGTATAAAACAAAGTCGCTGTCGCTGTCTGTCCGTCCCTATGTATGCTTAAATCTTTAAAACTACGCAACGGATATTGAAGCGGTTTTTTTAATAGATAGAGTGATACAAAAGGAAGGTTTATATGTATAATACATGCATAATATAGTGGAGAAACACTGATAAATTTAGAGGTTTCTAATGTAATGCCTTAACGTAATGGGGCGGCGGCGGTATTTAGTATCAGTTTTGCACCCGTGCGAAGCCGGGGCGGGTCGGTAGTAAACCATTAACCATGCGACGCGAAAGTAGAAAAGTTAATAATTAAAATGGTAAGATTTTTGTTAAATATTATTTAAGCATCCGTTTATAATTACGTATATAACAATGTTGACATCATTTGGTGCATGATTTATACTAATTCAGGTGTTATATAAATTTGCATTTTGATATCGAAGCCATAATGTGAAATCACGTCATACTTTCAACTAAAGGTCAATGGCAACAGCTCCAGTATCTTTACCCGACTACGACGAACCAAAAAGGCGGATTATGATAAAGTTGTATAGTTTGTTTTAATAGAAATAAATGAATCCTTAAATTTCCGCCATATCCCACCCTTTAAACCGAAAATGCACGCAAACAGGTAGCTTGAAAGCAGAATTAATATAGACAGATGCACCCGTGCACACGACGCCGTATAAAGCCTGCCTCCGATGAAATATTACCTGCACCGAATTATTATTAACTAGCGACCCGCCTCGGCTTCGCCCGGATGCAAATTATACACACACAAACTTTTCGTAATAAATAAACGGATATATATATATATATATATATATATATATATATATATATATATATATATATATATATATATATTCATCTGAAATTAATCATGTATATATTTATTTATTTAATATGTGTCGATGGTTTATATTATATGAATATATCAAGTATTCTTATTTTTTTCTCTATTCGATAATATACCTACGTATTTCTCAGTTTGCCCAATATCTGGTAGAGAACACCGTCCAATGAATATAAATATGTATATATATATATATATATATATATATATATATATATATATATATATATATATATATAGTAAATAGTATATTTAATATCAATTATGCATATGTATATAATGTCAATGGGGTTTTTTTTATTGGATGAAAATGGAATGGTAACCACGCCTGCGCTAACGGGATACGCTGGCGGGGCACCAGTGAAGGATGATCGATGAGGATGAAAACAGTGGACAGTTCACGGCTGAAATAATAATATATACAACGTATTATCTATATGTGTATGTATATGTATTTATGTTTATATGTGTATATATATGTATGTGTATATATGTGTATATGTATGTGTAAGTATATGTGTATGTTTACCGGGTTTATGTATTATATGTGTAGTTTGTATTATTCTTTGTGTATAATATATGTATTCATACAATATAGAGCGATGACTGAAATTGGAATTTTTAATATATACACAATTTACATGAAAAGGTTATATTGGAAGAAATCTCATGTCTAGAGATAACCTCGCCTTTG